TGGGGGTGTAAAAAGAAGATACGGGAAGAATTAGAGAAGGAAAGAGGCAAAACAGAAATAAATGGCATGTGGATAATAAGAAAATTGACTTCCTTTCACAGCTGTGAACCCTAGACTAAAAGATAGGCAATGCTATTATTTTGTAATATAATTCTAATAAGAAACATTTAAAAAGATTTGTGTAGACCACAATATAGATTTATGTTGTGGCAAAGGTGTCCTTTTCAAAAAGAAACAAATGTGTTCAATTTTGCTTTCCATGTTTTCAATAAAAGAAAGGTGGTCTTTTCCCACCCTTTAACCGTTATCACTCCTCTATCCAGGCTTGAGGCAAAATAATGTGTACGAATCTGCTAGAAGACACAGATTGAAGCAGATTTTAGGCAGTTTTCTAACGTGGAATCAAAAATCAAATGAATGTCAATTTCACTTAGTTTTGCTTCTAACTAATCTGCGGACTATGGAGTCTCTCACTTAAACCTTTAGGCCTTGGTTTTCTTTCCTAAACCTAGTAAAACGGGAGGAAGGCAGAAGATTGCCTAGATCCTTTCTAGTTTTGCCTATTAACTATTTCTCATGTTTCTTTTGTTTTCAGTAGTGATATTTTGGGCACTTTTATCCACATTCCAGCCTCTGGGGATACACTGCCCCAGGCAGCAGGTAAATTTCCTCCAGAGGCGAGGTGGACGTACTTTTGAGGGCAGGGCCAGATCACTGGCTCCCACGCACGAATTAGGGCGTCGCAGGCGGGATTCCCTCAAGTTCAAGCTCTGCCCAGAGCGCCAGCTGGAGGTGCACCCCGCCCCCACCCCACAGCCCGGAGACGCCAACTTCGCGCGGAGACCGGAGCAGGGCGGGGGCAGGGGTGTGGTCGGGGTCACGTGACGGCCCAGGTGCCCGCCCCGGCCCCGCTTACGTCCGGAGTCCCATCGTCCGGGCCACGCCGCCTCCCCTCGCACGTGGCCTCGCCGCCGCCGCCAGCCTCTTGCCCCCAGACCCGCTCCTGCAGCCATGGCTCCCGGCCAGCTCGGTGAGGCCCGGGCGGGGAAGCGCCGTGTGCGTCCTGTCCCTGCGGCCCCCCGCGAGCCCCCGCGCCCGGCAATGGCGGCGGCCGGCGGCACTGCGAGCCCGCGCCTGGGCCTGTCGTAGCCCCCTGTGGGGCCGGCGTGTGCGGCCCGCGGGGTCTGGCCCGGGCAGGCCCTGGGGCGAGGCCTGTGATCAGTGGGCTCCAGGGCAGGCCTTGCGGTTCCCGAGTCTCCTCCCCCGGGTTCCCTTGATGGGCCTTGGAGAACACAGTGTGACATACTGCGAGTAATGAGAAAAAAATGTCTTCTCTTTCAGCCCTGTTTAGTGTCTCTGACAAAACCGGCCTTGTGGAATTTGCAAGAAACCTGACTTCTCTTGGTTTGAATCTGATCGCTTCCGGAGGCACTGCAAAAGCTCTCAGGGATGCTGGGCTAGCCGTCAGGTAAGACACAACTTAGTTTTTAAGTCAAGTCAGTCAGAAAGCGGGCGTGATCACATTAACCAGGAAGTATTGTGTTTCAGGCACTGTGAGTAAAATTTCTCCTTTACTCCGCCCCATCACGCTGCGAGGTTGGTACGCTGCTTACCCACTTCATGGCAGAGGGAAGTGGGGCTTAGGGAGATTTCCTAAGTTCTCCACGAGTTTATTTACAGAGCTGGGATCGGAACCGGTTGTCCTGATTTTTGAACCCTGGTTCTTAGCCACTTCCTTTAACAAAGTAACTTAGGTGGGCCATTTGTTATGCAACAAAAACTCCAGTTATAATTCGTATGATCTGCGTTGACTGACTATTTAGTAAAACTGTGGACTTCAGGAAGATTGAGAGCTACTTCTCTTCTCTTAGAATCTCTGTTAACCACATGAAGGTACAGGTCATTCATTCGCTTATTTGCAAGCTCTTCATTATCTGTCTAGGAGATGGAAAGAAGGGATGTACAAACCATTAATCTGGATGCTATTCATGACCTCAAGGACTGGCATTCTGGCAGGAGAAGGAGTAACTCAACGAAAAGGTGGAAAAGGAAAAGGCCACAAGACCGCTATTTCATAAACTGTAAAGACAGTTCAAGTGAAGAACATACCTACCCCTGAAATATGTTTTAGAAAAGGGATGAAAATTTGCTTCTTGGCCTCTAGACCCATGTAAAAGTAGATTATTATCTTTTCTTAAAATTGTGCGCTATGTGAGCAGCACGTAGCTTCCCTAAATTTGACAAGTTCAGATGACAAGAACGCCTTACTTTATTAAATGTATGCTTTGTATTTTTCAGTGTCTTTTTGCATCTTGTCTCTGATGTGGTTCTCATGGAAGGCAGACCAGCCGGCTCTCTTCTGATCAGCAGGATGAGAATCCAAAGTCCAGACCTGTGTTCTTTCCATTGGGTCAAATTGGAGCCTCCTAGTGTAGTTAGAACCTTTTTCTTTATTTTTCTTTTTTCTTTTTTTTTTTGAGACAGAGTCTTGCTCTATTGCCTGGGCTAGAGTGTCGTGGCGTCAGCCTAGCTCACAGCAACCTCAAACTCCTGGGCTCAAGTGATCCTACTGCCTCAGCCTCCCGGGTAGCTGGGACTACAGGCACACACCACTGTGCCTGGCTGATTTTTTCTATATATTTTTAGTTGTCCAGCCAGTTTCTTTCTATTTTTAGTGGAGACGGGGTCTCGCTCTTGCTTAGGCTGGTCTTGAACTCCTGAACTCAAACTATCCTCCCACCTCGGCCTCCCAGAGTGCTAAGATTACAGGCATGAGCCACCGCGCCTGGCCAGAACCTTCTTTAAATTAAGCAAAATCCTCATCTGTGGCCTCTTTTTTTCATACCTAACTTTGTATTATGGAAACATAATACATAATACATTTTGACATAATCAAAAATAGTATGATGATCCCTCACGTCCTGTATTTGTCACCTAGTTTATATACTTATCAGCTGCTTAGTCTCGTTTGTGTACCTCTACCCATTCTGCTTACCTCCATTGTGATGATATCATTTTTTAAAAATTGGAAGTGTAAATGTGTTTTTCTCCTATATTAAAGGGTGAGGGGGTTCAACCTAAGTGGTTTATTTTAGAGCTCAACACAATAAGGTTAGTTGAATGAAGTATAAACAAGCTGGAGGGGTGTTTTACATGTATTCATATAGTCCTCACACCAACTTTTTGGAGTAGGTAGTGTTAACCCCATTTTATGGGTTAGGAAACCGAGGCACAAAGAAGGTAAGTCTTAACTTGCCCAAGACCTTACCCTATTAAGATGCCAAGATTTTGTAGGCTGATACTTCTGTAACAAAAGATAAGTTAACAAGACAAAAGTATAAAAAATTTATTGAATTGAAGTTTTACGTGACATGAGAGTCTTCAGAATGAAGACAATAATGATGCACGGAAAAGCACCATTTTTATGCTTAGATTCAATGAAGACTGGACAGCAATGTAGAAATATGATTGAACAAAAAGGAAATGATCTAATGCTAGTAGACTGAGGTGGGGAAAGCCTGGGAGGCCTGTCCAGATTCTTCTTGCCTCTCTGTATGTAGCATTCTTTCCTCCTGAGGGTCTCATGACCTACTATCAGGCAAGGTAGGTCAGAGAATTTCTTTATGGCCAGCTCCTAGATGGAAAGGTGGGGAAGGTTAGAATAATAATTCCAGTTTTTATGGCTGGCTTTGGGGAAAAGGGGCTCTAGTTTCAATGGCCTGCCTTGGGGAAGAGGAATTCTGGTTTTCATTAATATGGAGGAGAATGAGGGGTAAGAGGCAGGAAGGCAGGAGAAGGTTGAAGAGACCTTGGTTCTGAGGCCTTCCACTGTCCTTTGGTTCAAAATATTCAGTGTGGCATAGCACTGTACTTTGGGGTATCATTTTCTGAGCCCCAATAATTTTATCCGAGGAAATGAACCATTGCCTTGTCATGAGGTCAACTGAGATTTTAATCATTGAGTATACGGCAGTGAGCATACGGAGAATTATTTCTGAAGTCTACAACTTTAACATACAGATTCTTAAATATAAAGGAGTGGCATGCTTTTTAATTACCCCAAATGTTTAATTCTATGAATAAATTTGCCTTCTCTAAGTTTCTTTTCTTTTTTTTTAAGTTCACATGATTAGTAATGCAATGCCTTCTCTAAGTTTTAAGTGATTCTTTTCAGCTGGAGGAACTGGATTTTATTTCCTGAACTCCAAGAAGGTGAATTTTGAATTTGAAACTACAGTGTCACCAGTTTGTTCATTGATGTTAGAACTTAACTGTGTGTGTCTTTGTCTGAACACCAGTCATTTGCAAATGACCCTCCTTAATAGGAGAATCTATCCAGGAAATTCCGTATCTTAATGGTGAAATTTGCTGCTTTAAAATGTCTATTATTGTCCTGAGCTACTCAGGAGACTGAGACAGGAGGGTCACTTGAGCCCAGGAGTTTGGGACACTAAGATTGGGCCTGTGACTAGCTGTTGCTCTCTAGCCTGGGCAACACTGCGAAGGCCGTATATGTTGATTATATTAATAGAAAATTTGAAGAATGTGGAAAGCTATAAAGAAGGTAGTAAAAATGGCTTATGGTTCTTAACATGTTAATGTGTTTTTCTTCCAGCATTTTTATAAGCATACATTTTATTTCATAGCTCATGCAGTTTTGCTTCTTGCTTTTTTGTTGTTGTTTATATGTAATGTGCATTTTTCCACATCATTAAATTTTGTAAATTCTGCCAGAGAGGGCGTACATGGGTTCAACTATCTGGAGGTCAGCTTGGTGATACGGACTAATATTTAGATGTTGTACTTCATTTGACCCTTTGTCATATTTTGTGATTATTTTTTCTAGTTTACTTTTTTGGTTTTGCTAAGGAATACTGGGGCATATTTTCTCCTTGTAGAGGCAGGGAGGGGAGTGACCTTCCAGAAAAGTTAGAATTATAAGCCTGGAATACAGAGGGTGGTCTCTTCCCTAGTGAGGGACTGCTCTCTGCTTTGGGTCCACTTTGCTTTTTTTTTTTAATGTAAAAGTTGTTTTTTTCCCCCTCATTTATTGGAAACAGGTTTTTGCTGTGTTGCCCAGGCTGGTCTCAAACTTCTGGGCTCAAGGGAGCCTCCACCTCAGCCTCCTGAGTAGCTGGGACTGCAGGCATTAGCCACCGCACTCAGCTGCTGCAAAAGTTTTTATTTAACATTTATGTAATCAGAGCTATTAGTCTTTTGTTTACCACTTGGAAAACATTCCTCATCATTTACTTTTGGCGCTTACATGATTTTTTTTAAACGATTAAACCTTTGATTCATCAGGAATTTATTTTTGTGTGAGGTTAAACAGTTATGCCAATACCAACACCACTTTACTAAACAGTCTTATTTCCCCACTCATTTGATATGCCATCTTTATAGTTTTTTTATCATAAAACAAAATTCTTCTACTTTGTTCTGTTTTTGAGGCAAGGATATTTTTCATGCTTTTTGTAACATACTGCCAATTGGCTTTCTATTTCTTAATATTTAATTAATATAGCTTGTGATTCAATTTCAGAATTCTCTGAAAACTGTAAAACTAGTGCTTTAGGCCGGGTGTGGTGGCTCACGCCTGTAATCCTAGCACTCTGGGAGGCCGAGGCGGGTGGATCGCTCAAGGTCAGGAGTTCGAGACCAGCCTGAGCAAGAGCGAGACCCTGTCTCTACTAAAAATAGAAAGAAATTATCTGAACAACTAAATATATATATATATATATATATATATATGTATAGGAAAAATTAGCCGGGCATGGTGGCACATGCCTGTAGTCCCAGCCAGGCATGGTGGCACATGCCTGTAGTCCCAGCTACTCAGGAGGCTGAGGCAGTAGGATTGCTTGAGCCCAGGAGTTTGAGGTTGCCGTGAGCTAGGCTGAAGCCATGGCACTCTAGCCCGGGCAACAGAGTGAGACTCTGTCTCAAAAAAAAAAAAAAAACTAGTGCTTTAATCCTCAGTGATTCTTCCTGAACACAGATTAGTAGAAAATTTGTTAAAACATTTTTTTGAAAAGTAAATAGAATTTTACTTGAGAAATCAAGTATAGTGAAAGACTTAAGAAACTAGAATAATTTTTTTGTTAAACTCAGGCCCAAAAATCTCTTCAAATGAGAGCAGTAGACTTAGGGATGGAGGATAACTTTGAATAGTATAAAATGACACTTTAACTGAAACCATAGTAATGTTCTGTTTATCTATTTTCAGAGATGTCTCTGAGCTGACGGGATTTCCTGAAATGTTGGGGGGACGTGTGAAAACTTTGCATCCTGCAGTCCATGCAGGTAAGTGGTTGGCACTGTCAGTATAAAACAATCAGTGGTTTTCAAGAATATTTTAGTCAATAACTTCATAGAATAAAGGAGGGAAAAGGCTCAAAAAAATTTACCTGTAAAGTTATATTGATTTTGTCAGGTTTGTTGACAAATTTCACAATGCATTAGAACCTGTTTAAAATCTGAGTTGTTTTACTATGTGATGAATTCAGGTTATTTTCCTTTGCTTGTTATTTGGTCTTGACCTGATAACTAATATATAGGGCAATATTTCCCGTTAGAGTTACTGAAAACATTAGATTTTATAGTATGAAAAGATCTTAAACAATTCAAACTTAGAATAAAACATCACAGTGTAACTGACTTTCAAAAGAATTTTTTTCCAAAGTGCTTTACATTTACTCATTCATCTAAGTCAGCTAAGGAACTTCATTCAAGCCACTGAATTATGGGAACATGTAGCCTATAGTGGAACTAGCAACAGATTTATACAAATCTACTTTACCTTTTTTATATTATGTTGCTCAAGAAAATGGATCAAGAATGGATAAAAAAGACTTTTAAATGACCTAATCTTAATTTTTTCTTGATAACGCCTCTACTACATGTTTGATATTTTTTAATTGCAAATATTAGGCCAGGTGCGATGGCTCACTCCTGGAATCCTAGCACTTTGGGAAGCTGAGGCCAGTGGATCGCTTGAGGTTAGGAATTCGAGACTAGCCTGAGCAATATAGTGAGACCCTGACTCTACAAAAAATAGAAAGAATTAGCCAGGTGTGGTGGATGCCTTTTGAAAAGTAAATAGAATTTTACTTAAGAAATCAAGTATAGTGAAAGATTTAAGAAACCAGAATAACTTTTTTGTTCAACTCTGGCTCAAAAATCTCTCTAAATGAGAATAGTAGACTTAAGGATGAAAGATTCTTTGAATAGTATAAAGTGCCCACCTGTAGTCCCAACAACTCTGGAGGCTCAGGCAGGAGGATCACTTGAACCCCAGGAGTTTGAGGTTGCAGTGAACTATGGTGACACCACTGCTCTCATGCCAGAGCAACAGAGCAAGACCTTGTCTCAAAAAAAAAAAAAAAAAAACCCAGAATAAAAGAATATTAGAGGATTTAACTTGATTGATGATATAATACTATGTCGAAAGAAGTACCTTATTCTGACTTGTTTTTTGAATTAATGCTTTGTTTAACTTTGTTAAATTAGGAATCCTGGCTCGTAATATCCCAGAAGATAATGCTGACATGGCCAGACTTGATTTCAATCTTATCAGGTAAAAATTTGAAGTTGAACTTTTAACACATTGAGGACAAATAGCAGTATGCCAAACCTGGTATCTCTCTTTTTTTCTCACTCACTGTAAACCTTTACTGAGTACCCTCTATGTAACATAGTATGTGTATAAGCATTTGGTTTGGCCAAATTTACATTACCAAAATACATACTTAAACTGAAAACCACTTTTGTTTTTTCAGGAAGTTATGATCTAACTTTTAGTATAGACAGGTTGAATATCCCTTATCTGAAATGCTTGGGACCAGAAGTGTTTCAGATTTTGGAATATTTGCAGATAATATACCCTTGAGCATCCCTTATTTGAAAATCTGAAATCTAAAATGCTCTAATGAGCATTTACTTTGAGTGTCATGTTGGCACTCCAAAAGTTTCACGTTTTCAGATCAGGTATACTCAACCTGTACAGCTAACTTAGTTATTTGCATAAAGATATTGACTATTTCTTTCAAATATATGTAACAGCTTTATTGAGATATAATTCATATTCCATACAGTTCACTCATTTAAAATATACAATTCAGAAGGTTTTAGTATTTTCACGGAAGTTGTGCAACCATTACCACATTCAATATTAAACATATTCATCACCCTCAGCCCCCACCAAAAAAAAAAAAAAAAGCCCTGTGCCATTAGCATTTATTCTGCATTTCCCCCAACACTGTCCAGCCTTGGCAACCACCAGCCTACATTCTGTCTCTAGATTTGCCTGTTTTGTGCATTTCATATGAATGGAATCCAGCATTGCACACAATGTTTTTTGTGACTAGCTTCTTTCACTTAACGTGTTTTCAAGGTGTGTCCATGTTATAGCATAGTATCCAGTACTTTGTTTCGTTTTATTGCTGAAAAATAATCCATTGTGTGAATATATACCCCATTTTCTTTATCAGGTTCATCAGCTGATGGACATTTGGGTTGTTTCTACTTTTTGGATATTATGAATAATGCAGCTGTGAATATTTGTGTGCAAGTTTTTCTGTGAATATATATTTTCATTTCTTTGGGTACATGCCTAGGAGTGGAATTCCTTGGTCATGTGGTCACTCTATGTTTAACCTTTTGAGGAACTGCTAGACTGTTTCCAGAGTGCTGCACCATTTTACATTAACAGCAGCAGTGTACTGGGGTTTCAGTTTCTCCACATTCTCACCATTTATTATTTGTCTTTTCGGTTCGAGCCATTCTAGTGGTTGTGAAGTGGCATCTCATTGTGGTTATGATTTGTATTTCTTAATAATGCTGAGCATCTTTTCATGTGCTTATTACCCAGTTGGGTACCTTCTTTGGAGAAATGTCTGTTCAGATCCTTTGCCCATTTTTTAGCTGAGTTATTTACCTTTTTATTATTGAGTTGTAAGGCTTTTTCCTCCTGTTCTGTGCGTTGTTTTCCTTTCTTGATGGTGTCCTTTGACCATCACAAATGTTTTTAATTTTGATGATGTGGAATTTATCTGTTTTTTTCTTTTGTTGCCTTTGCTTATGGTGTCATATGTAAGAAACCATTGCCTGATTCTGGATGATGACGATTTTTGTGTATGTTTCTTTTAAGAGTTTTCTTAGCTTTAGCTCTTTACTTAGGTCTTTGATTCATTTTAAATTAATTTTTATGTACAGGTGTGAGATAGAGATCCAACTTTGTTCTTTTGTATGTGGCTGTCCTTTTGTCCCAGCATCATTTGATAAAAAAATCATTCTTTCCCCAGTTGAATGGTCTTGGTATCTTTGGTCTGTGTGTCTGTCATTATGTCAGTACTACACCATTACTGCGACTTTGTAGTAAATTTTGAAATCACAAAGTGCGAGTCTTCCAACTTTTTCTTTTTTTTTTAATTTTATTTTTTTTTAGAGTATTACGGGACAACTTTGTTTTTCTTATTCAAGATTGTTTTGACTATTTAGAGTTTCTTGCATTTGCACATAATTTTTAGAATCAGCTTGCCCATTTCTGGGGGGAAAAAAGCAATTGGAATTTTCCTAGGGAGTATGTTGAATCCGTAGATCAATTTGGGAAATATTGCCATCTTAACAATGTTAAATCATCCAGTCCATGAACACAGATGTCACTCCATTTTTTTTTAGATTTTCTTTAATTTTTTCAACAATGTCTTGTACTTTT